CCATCCTGTCCCAACCCCCATCCTGTCCCAACCCCCATCCTGTCCCAACCCCCATCCTGTCCCAACCCCCATCCTGTCCCAACCCCCATCCTGTCCCAACCCCCATCCTGTCCCAACCCCCATCCTGTCCCAACCCCCATCCTGTCCCAACCCCCATCCTGTCCCAACCCCCATCCTGTCCCAACCCCCATCCTGTCCCAACCCCCATCCTGTCCCAACCCCCATCCTGTCCCAACCCCATCCTGTCCCAACCCCCATCCTGTCCCAACCCCCATCCTGTCCCAACCCCCATCCTGTCCCAACCCCCATCCTGTCCCAACCCCCATCCTGTCCCAACCCCCATCCTGTCCCAACCCCCATCCTGTCCCAACCCCCATCCTGTCCCAACCCCCATCCTGTCCCAACCCCCATCCTGTCCCAACCCCCATCCTGTCCCAACCCCCATCCTGTCCCAACCCCCATCCTGTCCCAACCCCCATCCTGTCCCAACCCCCATCCTGTCCCAACCCCCATCCTGTCCCAACCCCCATCCTGTCCCAACCCCCATCCTGTCCCAACCCCCATCCTGTCCCAACCCCCATCCTGTCCCAACCCCCATCCTGTCCCAACCCCCATCCTGTCCCAACCCCCATCCTGTCCCAACCCCCATCCTGTCCCAACCCCATCCTGTCCCAACCCCCATCCTATCATGTCCCAACCCCCATCCTGTCCCAACCCCCATCCTGTCCCAACCCCCATCCTGTCCCTAACCCCCCTCCTGTCCCAACCCCCCATCCTGTCCCAACCCCCATCCTTGTCCCACCCCCCATCCTGTCCCAACCCCCATCCTGTCCCAACCCCCATCCTGTCCCAACCCCCATCCTGTCCCCAACCCCCATCCTGTCCCAACCCCCATCCTGTCCCAACCCCCATCCTGTCCCAACCCCCATCCTGTCCCAACCCCCATCCGTCCAACCCCCATCCTGTCCCAACCCCCATCCTGTCCCAAACCCCCATCCTGTCCAACCCCTCTGTCCCAACCCCCATCCTGTCCCAACCCCCATCCTGTCCCAACCCCATCCTGTCCCAACCCCCATCCTGTCCCAACCCCCATCCGCAACCCCCATCCTGTCCCAACCCCCATCCTGTCCCAACCCCCATCCTGTCCCAACCCCCATCCTGTCCCAACCCCCATCCTGTCCCAACCCCCATCCTGTCCCAACCCCCATCCTGTCCCAACCCCCATCCTGTCCCAACCCCCATCCTGTCCCAACCCCCATCCTGTCCCAACCCCCATCCTGTCCCAACCCCCATCCTGTCCCAACCCCCATCCTGTCCCAACCCCCATCCTGTCCCAACCCCCATCCTGTCCCAACCCCCATCCTGTCCCAACCCCCATCCTGTCCCAACCCCCATCCTGTCCCAACCCCCATCCTGTCCCAACCCCCATCCTGTCCCAACCCCCATCCTGTCCCAACCCCCATCCTGTCCCAACCCCCATCCTGTCCCAACCCCCATCCTGTCCCAACCCCCATCCTGTCCCAACCCCCATCCTGTCCCAACCCCCATCCTGTCCCAACCCCCATCCTGTCCCAACCCCCATCCTGTCCCAACCCCCATCCTGTCCCAACCCCCATCCTGTCCCAACCCCCATCCTGTCCCAACCCCCATCCTGTCCCAACCCCCATCCTGTCCCAACCCCCATCCTGTCCCAACCCCCATCCTGTCCCAACCCCCATCCTGTCCCAACCCCCATCCTGTCCCAACCCCCATCCTGTCCCAAACCCCCATCCTGTCCCAACCCCCCATCCTGTCCAACCCCCATCCTGTCCCAACCCCCATCCTGTCCCAACCCCCATCCTGTCCCAACCCCCATCCTGTCCCAACCCCCATCCTGTCCCAACCCCCATCCTGTCCCAACCCCCATCCTGTCCCAACCCCCATCCTGTCCCAACCCCCATCCTGTCCCAACCCCCATCCTGTCCCAACCCCCATCCTGTCCCAACCCCCATCCTGTCCCAACCCCCATCCTGTCCCAACCCCATCCAACCCCCATCCTGTCCCAACCCCCATCCTGTCCCAACCCCCATCCTGTCCCACCCCCATCCGTCCCAACCCCCATCCTGTCCCAACCCCCATCCTGGTCCCAACCCCCATCCTGTCCCAACCCCATCCTGTCCCACCCCCATCCTGTCCCAACCCCCATCCTGTCCCAACCCCCATCCTGTCCCAACCCCCATCCTGTCCCAACCCCCATCCTGTCCCAACCCCCATCCTGTCCCAACCCCCATCCTGTCCCAACCCCCATCCTGTCCCAACCCCCATCCTGTCCCAACCCCCATCCTGTCCCAAACCCCCATCCTGTCCCAACCCCCATCCTGTCACCAAACCCCATCCTGTCCCAACCCCCATCCTGTCCCAACCCCCATCCTGTCCCAACCCCCATCCTGTCCCAACCCCCATCCTGTCCCAACCCCCATCCTGTCCCAACCCCCATCCTGTCCCAACCCCCCATCCTGTCCCTAACCCCATCCTGTCCCAACCCCCATCCTGTCCCAACCCCCATCCTGTCCCAACCCCCATCCTGTCCCAACCCCCATCCTGTCCCAACCCCCATCCTGTCCCAACCCCCATCCTGTCCCAACCCCCATCCTGTCCCAACCCCCATCCTGTCCCAACCCCCATCCTGTCCCAACCCCCATCCTGTCCCAACCCCCATCCTGTCCCAACCCCCATCCTGTCCCAACCCCCATCCTGTCCCAACCCCCATCCTGTCCCAACCCCCATCCTGTCCCAACCCCCATCCTGTCCCAACCCCCATCCTGTCCCAACCCCCATCCTGTCCCAACCCCCATCCTGTCCCAACCCCCATCCTGTCCCAACCCCCATCCTGTCCCAACCCCCATCCTGTCCCAACCCCCATCCTGTCCCAACCCCCATCCTGTCCCAACCCCCATCCTGTCCCAACCCCCATCCTGTCCCAACCCCCATCCTGTCCCAACCCCCATCCTGTCCCAACCCCCATCCTGTCCCAACCCCCATCCTGTCCCAACCCCCATCCTGTCCCAACCCCCATCCTGTCCCAACCCCCATCCTGTCCCAACCCCCATCCTGTCCCAACCCCCATCCTGTCCCAACCCCCATCCTGTCCCAACCCCCATCCTGTCCCAACCCCCATCCTGTCCCAACCCCCATCCTGTCCCAACCCCCATCCTGTCCCAACCCCCCATCCTGTCCCAACCCCCATCCTGTCCCAACCCCCATCCTGTCCCAACCCCCATCCTGTCCCAACCCCCATCCTGTCCCAACCCCCATCCTGTCCCAACCCCCATCCTGTCCAACCCCCATCCTGTCCCAACCCCCATCCTGTCCCAACCCCCATCCTGTCCCAACCCCCATCCTGTCCCAACCCCCATCCTGTCCCAACCCCCATCCTGTCCCAACCCCCATCCTGTCCCAACCCCCATCCTGTCCCAACCCCCATCCTGTCCCAACCCCCATCCTGTCCCAACCCCCATCCTGTCCCAACCCCCATCCTGTCCCAACCCCCATCCTGTCCCAACCCCCATCCTGTCCCAACCCCCATCCTGTCCCAACCCCCATCCTGTCCCAACCCCCCATCCTGTCCCAACCCCCATCCTGTCCCAACCCCCATCCTGTCCCAACCCCCATCCTGTCCCAACCCCCATCCTGTCCCCATTCTCAAAACTTTCCCAATGCCCATCTCCATCCCCACTCCCATTCCCATCCCCTAACGTCCCCTTCACCCCCCACAGCCGGTGAAATATCTAGACTGTCTGCACTGGTGCCAGCCGGGCGTGCCGGACATCTGGGTCGACCTCTTCCACGAGATGCTGCTGGCCGAGCCACTCTTCTCCGGCACCTCCAACCCCACCGCCGCCTCCTCCAAGCCTACCTCCAAGCCTAAACCGAAACCCAAGCCTAAGCCGACGCCCAAGAAGCCCAAGCCGGCCCCATCGCCCTCCAAGCCGAAGGCATCCCCATCGCCGTCCAAGCCTAAGCCGTCCCCGTCGCCGTCGCCTGCCAAGTCGCCGCCACCGCCGCCGCCGCCGGCCTCCCCGCCCCCCTACGTGCCACTAGACCCCACCAAGCCCAACCGCTTCAAGCGCAAGCCGGGCACGTGAGGGGGGGGGGGGGGGGGGGGGGGGGGGGGGGGGGGGGGGGGATGGGGGAGGAAGACCATGGGATGGGTGCGCTTGCACCCACAGCTTACGGGAAGCTTGAGAATAAGCTCGAGGGGTGCCTGAGGTGTGCCCTCTTACTGTGGGTGACGGATGAACCGTTTGTTGACCATGGACCATGGTGGACAGCCAAGGAAACTGGTCTTGAGAGCTCCAGCTGGAGACACAGGGTGTGGATAAGGATTTTCAAAGAACCCGCCTAATTCGTCATGTGAGCATCCCGCTTTCAGCCTGCTGGACATGCCTTTTCGTGGAACAGTGCCCCTTCCACAAACAGACAAATACCGTACTGATGCGCACTGACCATCCCCTAGGAAGACTCAGAAGTATTGGCATGAACGGTACACCGTCGGTACGTAGAATATAGAATAGAAGATATAGGTCTCGTGCAGACCCTCAGACTGGTAGGTTGTCTGCAAAATCAGATTGCAAATCTACCCTACTCTGAAAATCAGACAAAAACCCAATTCTGTATCCTCATTTTTCCTTATCTTTAATGACCCAATGAACAAACAAATACTGAAAATCAGACAAATTAGACTAAAGGCTGAAATGTGAGAACATGGTCTCATGTCTTGTTATGCTGATGGATTATTAGAACTTAGCCAGCCCTAAAATCATTGTAAATTGTATTTTATTATGTCGGACTCGCCCAGCTCTCCTTCTCGCGTACGCTGTCAGGGGGTATTGAAAGCATCGCCCAACGATTTCGCCTCTCCCATTCATGTGCACACGTTGGCCTTGCGTCTCCACCGTGCTCCCCCCGCAGTCTCCACGCCGCCCCTGCGCCTCTCGTTCTAGTCTCTCCTGCGCGGAGTCATGCTTCCGCCCTTTTCATCGTCCTCCCCGCGCGCGCTGAATGGGGAGCTCCTGCGCTGCGCCAACAGCTGCGGGGTGTCCCTACTCGCCGCGCGACCCACTTCGCGCATGCCTGCGCGTGCCGGCCCGGTTTCCGCTGCAGGTCTGGTGTCCAGCCGCGTGCGCGCAACGGTTGGAGAGGGCAGTGAAAGGGGGGGGCGTTCGGAAGGGCGGAAACTGACGAGCGCGGATGGGCGCAGGGCGGAAGGCTTCGACGCGGAGGAGCGCCGCAGGGAGGAGGGCAGGTGGGGGTCCAGAACAAAGCCGCAGCGGCAGGGGGAATGGCGGAGAACGGAGGAGGGGGGAAAGGCGGGAAGTAAGGGCTCGCGACAGCGCTTTGTTGGGTACGCTGATGACGTGGCAGCCGAGGATAGGCTGCGGCAGGAGGCAGGCGGCGCCGTTGATTGGCTGACGCGACCTTCCAATGGCGATGCGGGAGGGCATTCGGCGCGCAGCGGGGAGTGGGAAACGGGGAAGGGACGAGGGGACGGGCCGGCGGATTGGGAGAGCGGATGGGATGGGGACGGCGAGGAGCAGGGCGCTCGGGGGGAACGCGGAGGCTGGGGAGAGGAGAGCGGCGGAGCAGGAATGGGGAGGGCGCGGGGCGTGCAGGGGTGGATGGGGGACGGTAACGTGGAGCGTGTGAGACGTGTCGGGGCAGACGGACGCCCAAGGGTTGAAGGGTGGGAGGCAGGGTGGAGAACGGTGGAGTACGGTGAAAGGTGGCGTGGGGGCGATGAAGATGGGCGGGGGAGCACGGATGGGAGAATGGGTACTGGGATGGTTAGTGGGGACATGAGCACGAGATCACAACAGCAGCAGCAGCACCGGCAGCAGCAGCAGCTGCGGGCATCAAAGCAGCTGCCACAACCATCCCCTCCACAGCAGCAGCTGCAGCTGCAACCCCTCTCCTCCCCCTCCTCCCCTCTCGCAACCATCCCCTCACCCTCTCCCCTTGCCCCTGTCCCTCACCGCGAGCCTTCCCCCTCCCCCGCCTCCTCCCAGCGTCCCCTCCCCTCAGTGCTCCCCCTGCCCCCCTCGGCGCTGGACTCCCTCCTCCCCTTCGCTGGCTCCGGTTCCCAGGTGCGATGCCGTGCCATGCTGAGGCATGCAACTGGCACTCTCAAGCATGCAACTGGCACTCTCAAGCATGCAACTGGCACTCTCAAGCATGCAACTGGCACTCTCAAGCATGCAACTGGCACTCTCAAGCACTCTTGCACCCAACCCTCCCATCCCACGGCAGACCCACCCATGGCTTGCTTTGCCCTTCCTCACACTCGCTCCCGCACGCACTCCCTCCGTCGCTCCCTCCATCACTCCCATTTCTCACTCACTCCCTCCTTCACACCCTCACTCACTCCCCCAGGTGGTAGCCTTCATGGGCTCGCCCCTAGACTGGCTGCAGCGCTTTGTGCTCTCCATGGGCGGGGCCGTGCTTTTTTACAACGTGAACGTCTTCGCCACCATCGCTGCCGCCATGTACTTCCTCTGGTGGCCTCTCTGGCGTGCTGCTGCCTGCAACTCCTCCCTCCGGATTCGATACAAATATGCAGGTGAGTGGGATTCGGTACAAGCATGTGACTGAGTCGGGGAAGCGATATAGCATGCTGAAAGGCATGGGGCAGAGCGCTTGCACAGAGCAGTTGTGTGTGGGGTGCCATCCCTCTCCCGCTCGTCCCTCTGCGCACACATTACTCTCCTCCCTCCACTCATCTCCTCCCGCTCCCACTCATGCATATCCTTGTTTCCGATCTTTTCCTCCCTTTCCCGTCGTTTCCAAGCATGGCTAGCCGAGGCGCGGCTGCTTGACACAAAGTGCTCGTAAGCATGCTCAGGGAGCAGAGACGGTTGCTACCCACACCGTCCTCACATCCCACCTCCCCCATGTGACACCTCCCCACATGCCACCTCCCCCGCATGCCACCTCCCCGTCAGGCGTGTGGCAGGCGCGCCTGCTGGACGTGCAGGTGGAGCAGCGGGGACCGCTGGCCAGGTGGCGGCTGCTGATTGGCGATGACAGTGGCACGTGCATAGAGGCAAGTGGGAGTGACGTCAGCAGCACCTGCTGTGTGATATACAGCTGCCAGGAATCCCAGTTGTTGAGCTCCTCCATGCTTCCATGCCTCATATCCTCACTCCCACATTCACCCACACACATGGATTCCAGCCCCTTCTGCCCTCCCCCTTGTCGTCCCCCTTCCTCCGCTCTTCTTAACCTCCCCTCAACCGGTGCAACCCTTCCAATGCACACTGGTGCACTCCATATGGCCGTGTGTGCCCATACACTGATGCCCATGCCCCTCATCTTCCCTCTCCCTCCTGCTGCTGCCAATCCTTCCCCTGTGACCCTATACCCCCTTCATGTGTCCCCCTTGTGCCCCTCCCATTTGCCCCTGGACGCAGATGCTAGTGCCCATCCCCTCACCGCCTCCACCCCTGCGCCCCAGCGACCGCGTGGTGCTGCTGGTGCTCTCAGACAGCCCCTCGCTGCGGCGCTTCCGTGCCGTGAGGGAGGTGTGGGTGCCGCGCCTCAAGTGCTGGCTGGCGGAGGAGGGGGAAGAACGTGTGGAGCGGCGTGTGCTGGAGGGCCTCTGAGACGCACACGTGGAGTGTGAGGTGCTGGAGGGCTTTTTTTAACGTCTCAGGTGCCGTGGGGGAGACTCATAGGTGCCACGCCTCACGTGCTGGCTAGTGGAGAATGGGTTGGGGGCGTGTGGAGCGGCAGTTGCTGGAGGGCCTGTGAGGCGCGCACATGGAGTGGGAGGTGCTGCTGGGGGCTTGTGATTGAGACGTGCCAATGGTCGCCGTCAGGGAGGCGTGGGTGCCGCGCCTCAAGTGCTGGCTGGCGGAGGAGGGGGAGGAACGCCTCGAGCAGCGCGTGCTGGAGGCTTTCGGAGACGTCTCAGGCACTGTGAGGGAGGCACACGATTGCTGCAGCTGCCACTGTTGTGATGTCATGGTGTGGCATCTCCTGGCATGGCATGGCATGGCAGTGAATGGCAGTTGTGGGGTGCAGTATGTATGCACTTGTTATAGGCTACATCAATACGGTACTCTTTAATAACTACACCCACAAGCATCTGACAGATCAGCATGGCCTCGAGTCAGGTTGATTGCCTAGTCTACTGTTCATGCTACATACTTCAGCACGTTGTTACGTCTAACTACCATCATCCAGTACAGTAGAACCAAATAAAGAATGCCATATCAAAGAAAGAATGTCTTGATACACTACCCCCTACCGCATCAGTCAAAGTTAACCCATCCCATGGCCATGTGGCCCCCATTCATGGTGGCTGCCAAGCGAGCTGCCTCCTCTTGACTGCCTGCTGCTGTGCTTCTCCTCACTCACCCCATGGCTCCCCCCCTTGTCCCCTGCCCCCTTGTCCCCTGCCCCCTTGTCCCCTGCCCCCTTGTCCCCTGCCCCCTTGCCCCCTGCCCCCTTGCCCCCTGCCCCCTTGCCCCCTGCCCCCTTGCCCCCTGCCCCCTTGCCCCCTGCCCCCTTGCCCCCTGCCCCCTTGAGCCCTTGTCCCCTGCCCCCTTGTCCCCTGCCCCCTTGGCTCCGTCGATCCAACTCTTCTCTGACATGCCACACCCGCAGCTGCCCCCCATCCACCCCTGTCAGCCACCCCACTCTGCTGCTCCAACTCCAGGCAGTGAGCAATGGGGAGGCCACCACACCACAGCGTGCTGCTGCTGCGCATGCCTGCTGCGTGCCGATGCGTGCCGAGAGAGCACAGGCACCGACCCTGCAAAAGACTGTTGAGCGAGACTGCTTATTTTCAACCTACCTTCCTGTTCTCAGCTCACTGTTGCTCCCTTAGCCACACTTAGTGTGCACTGCCTCCTCACTCCCCACTACACTCTCTCACTCTTCCACCATTGCGCTCCATCTATTCCCTTCACTCACTCCCACTCGCTGTCTTTCATTCCCAATCCCCACCAGCTCACTCCCAATCCCCATAGCTCAGCCCCCCTCTTGCCCCCTCACTCATCCTTCCCTCCCCTCACTCATCCTTCCCTCCCCTCACTCATCCTTCCCTCCCCTCACTCACCCCCCTCTCCCCCTTCACTCTTCCCCTCTCTCCGCTTGAACTCAGCAACAAGGCTGTCAAACGACACATCAAAAGCATCCTTCCACTCCCCGTCACCAATCTCCACCGCACCACCCTCAGCATTCCCCCCAACCCTCCCCTCCCCCCTTTCCCCGCCACGTGGCAGTGCCATGTGGCGGTACAGCAGCTGCGGCACCAACTCCCTGATCCTCGCTTGCATGCTCGCCACACGCTCCTCCGGGATCGCCGCCAGCTCAGCTGCCACGTCAACCGTCCCATTCAGCACGTGCGCCTCGTCCAGCGTCACGGAGATGCTGCTCCTGTCTTCGGGGAAGTGCCACGGGTACTGCATGTTAAAGCTGTCCTCTTTAAAGAACACGGGAATGCAGCCTGCTAATAACGAGTCAAACGTGGAGCGTCTAACAGAGCTGTCCCCTGTCGGCTGAAGGCAGAACCGGCTCTGCAGCATCACCACCGCCACCTGCCACGTGTCATAGCATCCCGACGGCACCCACTCCGTCACGTCCTCCCCCTCCGCGTCCCGCGGCGCCGCGCTCCCCACCACCGCCTCCACCGCCGCCCCCAGCGCGGTCCCTGCGTCCGCCACCGCGTCCGCCGCCGTGAAGAGCGGCAGCTCCTGCCCCACCTCGTCGGGGCCCGTGCATTTCATCCACAGGCACGTCGCGTTCCCCGCGCGCTCGCACTCCGCGATCAGCGCCTTGCGCAGTGGCCCGCTCGTGGTCCCCGAGGGGCGGCGTCCGCCCACGTAGGAGAAGAGGAATGGGCGGCGGCGCGCGGCAACGAGCTCGAGCCAGTGGTTGATTTCCGCGAGCGACGCGGGGTGGAAAGTGGTGGTGTACGGTACTGAGAATATAGGCATGGCGTAGCTCTCTCTATAAGGCGGCTGCTCGACTGTAAGGAATGTGACATTAGCGAGCTCCGGAACGAAGACAACGTTGTAATGCGGCGGGTCGTCCACTTGCTTGTAATTGGCGAAGTCCCAGATCGCGCGCCCCAGCACCACCACGTGGCGCGCTCCCTTGGTTCGCTGAAACGCGGGCTGCCCGAGAAGAAACTCCTTGAGCGCAAGACCTGGGTGCGGAAAGTGGCCCGAGTGAAGCGTGTTCTTATACGCGTTCCACCCCATATAAGCCGGCACCAGGAACACGTCAGCCTCGGTATCGTCGTGCGTGCGGCACGGGTGGTTCTCCAAGCGCGTGCGGAAGTGCGCTTCGATCTGGTGCTGCTCCGTGCTGTACCACCGGTGCAGCCACGCCCACTCCCCCGCTTCCGCCCCTTCCGTGTCTTCCACTTCCCGCTCCACGCGCGCCTGCGCAGTTTCCATCTTCGCCGCCAGAAGCGCTGCGATGAGCGCGCGCCCGCCGTCGCGGTTGGCGGGGAGGCGGGGACCCTGCGCGCGGTTGCGGAAGGCGTCGCAGGTGAGCCATGCGAGCAGCGGGTCGTCGTCGCACGCCGTGCGAACGATGTCGTCGTTGAAGACGGGCGGCATGGAGTAGACGAACACACGGCGGCCGTCGCATGAGGGCTGCGCGACGGATGGCGACGCCTGCGAGACGTCGTCGTTCCCGTTCGGCGATGCTGATGACGCGTTCTCGTCGGAAGGAGGTGATGACGTGGAGTGATCCGACACGTTGGTTGCGGCATCCCGCTCAGCAGCTGCCGTAGTCGGGGGATCGTGGGCAGCAGCAGTGAAATCACCCTCATTCCCGCTGAGAGCGGCACCAGTAGCAGCAGCGCCATCAGCATGGGTGGTGGGGGTGGCTGGATCGAGTTGATCACCGTCCACCCCGCCTGTGGCTTCCTCGCTGTCAGAGTCACCGCCACCACCTCGCCTCCCTTCATCTTCCTCACCTCGCTTCTCCCCTCCCCGCCTTGCCTCTCTTGCCTCTTCCGTCTTAAACTCTGGCTCGCTCGTCCTCTCCTCCCGGCCCGTGCCTTTTCCGCTGCCCCCATCTCCAATAGTCGATCCATTGAGAGCATCCGACGCATCGATCCCTTCGCGCGCATCCTCCCGCCGCCCTACCTCCACTCCGTCACGTTTTCGCGATCCACCTGCATTTCCCGCTGACGTCTCCTGCTCCACTGGCAAGTCCGTGTCGTGCGCGACTTCCTTACCACTCGGCTCTTTGTTCACACTCCCCCGTTCATCCCAACTCACTGTCGGATGTGCATTTCCGCCGGCCACCTTTCGCGGTGCTTTCCTCTTCACGTCGTCTCCAGCTGCCTCGTCATCACGCGGCTTCGTCGATCCGATCGACAGTCTCGAGGTAAGCCTCTCGATCGCCTGCAGCCGCGCCATTTCCACAGCTAGTTCAGACGGCCCGACGCCGCTTTCGACGGCGCTTAATGCGGGGAGGGAGAACAAGGGCCAGTGGAACGCCCCCGATATCCATACGGCGACGAGGAGCAGGAAGAAGAGGGCGACGGGGGCTCGCAGCAGCGCTGCGTGATGTGGGGAGCAGAGCGCGTTGTGCAGCCACGAGATGGGGCCGCGCGCACCCTTGGCGCGGGGTAAAGGGCACATTGTTCCGCTTAGTGCCGTGACGAGCGGGGAGCGCGGAGGCGGCGAGGAGCCGCACAGTTTGGGTCGGGTTTCAGCTCGAGAGCTAGCGCTGTTAGGCGTCGCCATGGTGACGTATCATTCAGTTACACACTGGCGTGGGAAGGTTAATCTATCGGAAATGAGGTACTATCAGTCGTGGGAGAGGCGGGTGCCTCTTCTTAATGGGCTGCGAGCGCTGAGGAGGAAAGGTTGTTTTGGGAAAAGGGGAAGAATGCTACCGGGTGCGAAAGGCACTCCGCTGGTATAAAAACAGGCCGTGCAGCGCGGCGGGGCAGGGGAGAGGCATTGAGAGGGGTGCAAGGAAGCGACAAGAGCTGAGCTGATATCGGTCGCTTTCACTGTTCTCGCTGGATTTGTGACGAGCTCAAAATGCTCGGGATTGGGACGCTATTCACCGTACTCGCTGATCTTGGAAACCTCTGGAATCTTGGGACGAACGATCGCTAAGTTAGTCTAGGGCGAGTCGCTCCAAAGGTTGTGGGGTGCTGCTGGTGGAGCACGAAGGGGCGATTAAAATGGATGGTTTGCTGCTTACTAAGCAGCAGCATACTGACACACTCCTCTTGTGGCTCGACACACGCTAAGGGGGAGAGAGTCAGCGTCCACCCTTTTCCTCTGGACTGCCTGGTTGTGGACAGATCGTCCGACCTGATTCGTTGATTGGTTGTTACACATGACAAGTAGGCAAATTTTGTGAGCGCCCGCGATTAGCAGACAAGTAGACCCCCCACCCCACACCACACACATTGCGCAGCGAAGGGGTAGGTAAGAATGAATGAAGCATAGCATCTAGCGAAGGAAAGCGTCAACCTCCCTCATTTGAGAAGTTCGTGCACACCCAGCTGTAAATTTGCTGATGCCCCCCTCGAGGCGCCGTTGCCAAGCCATCTACGCGACGCGCCTCGGCTTTGTTGATCTTGTCGCGATACTGTGGAAGCGCAACGAATCAGAAGGTTAGATTTGGTCGGGGGGAAGGCTGTAAAACTACACCAATTGCTCTAACTTTCGTTATCTCCCGTTTCAAGCAAACGACCACAAAGGGATACATGGATTCCCACTAATGTCTCATGTATTCTCAAGTACTACTATTGTCAGAATAAGGATCCTTGGATAGAATAAGTCTGCTAGAATTTGGTAGCGGAATTCTTGTAGTAGTGGTAGGAACCTTGTGCATAGTGAATGTAGATGACAAGATTGATTAAAACAGAAGCAATACACACAATAAATAGATCTAGCTAGTCATCTACTCTAAGGGGTACATTCCCTTATTATAACTGTAATACAGGCATCTCTACAATAACCCTGGCTCTTGCTCTTCTCCTGTTATCGGGTCGCGGTGTGTAACTGTATCGATAGTTACGCCTGTTGCTATTCTTCGCAGGTAACCGTTCGGTCAAGATGGTCAACAGTCGCGACAGTTGACCTTTTGCGACTGCTGACCTTCCTGCCCTATATGGGCTGATCCGATAATGCTGCTGTTGTTTCTTTGGTAGTAGCGGGTGCGATACAGCTTCACCTACAGGAATGCTAAGATTTGTTGGGCTGAGAAAAAGCCCTTAGGATCTTTTCAAGGCTAAGACTTTGGGTAGAGATGTTGTAATTGCGGAAGCGTATAGTAAATTTTTTGAATCACCTTGCACTAGTGTGTGAGAGCAAGAGATTGATTAAAGCAAAGAGATACAAGGATATATATATGATTACAAGGAATACGAAGAGGTGCAACTAACTGTTTTGCTGGTGCGGTTCGATACAGTAACGATTCGGGCAACTGCTCAATACCGAGTCAGTTGTTTGTCCTTGCTGTCACGCTGTATTTCGTCGAGTCAAGGGTCGCTGACCTTTGGCCTTCGCGTAACCTCCAGCTGTTACGTTTGTTAACCTCCTTGGTTGACTCGCTTGTTGCTTCACTGTAGTCTGCTTCGTTCGTGTTATTACTTCGATACTTCAGAAGCGCCGACCATTTGTTTCCAACACTCCCCTTCGCTTCTGGAGTGTCATCACCTTTGTTGCTGACGACGTGGCCTTGTCCAGTCAGCAGCATGCAGTACTCGAACTTCTGCTTTCCAAGTTTCTTGGTCAAGTAATCTGCTGCCATCTCGGACGTGGGACAATAGGATAGCTCGAGTGTTCCTTTATCGATCTTGTCCTTCACGAAGAAGTACCGAAGGGCGATGTGCTTCGTTCGATTCGCGAACCCGCTCTTGTTCGCTATGCGAATTGCGGATTGATTGTCGCAGAAGAGGGAGAAACTGGGTAACTGATGTCAGATAATATAATTATATGTTATGTTATATAACCGCCCCCCCCCCCCCCCCCCCCCCCCCCCCCCCCCCCCCCCCTCCCCCTTCTCCTCCATCCCCTGCTGCAGGTGCAGCAGTGGGGGGAGGGTATGGGGGTGGCGGGTGTGGGTGCAACTGCGGGGTGGCGGGTATGGGGGTGGCGGGTGTGTGAACCATCCCCTCCTCCTCCTCCACCTTCGTCTCCCACTGCTGCAGCTGCCGCTGAGGGGGGTGGGTGTGTGGGAGCCGAGGGAGTGGCGGGGATGGGGGGTGGGGGAGAGGGGGCAGGCCGCCGTGTGAAGCAGTGCAGGGACTGTTGTGGGTGGGGCAGGGGCTGGAGGATGGAAGGGGGGAAGGGGGGTGAGTTCCAAGGGAGCAGCTGATAAGGGGGGTGAGTTTAAGGGGGTGGTTGAATTGAGGGTGAGGACCTGGGGGTTGTTAAGAGGGCCGGCCGGCAGTGAGCTGTCACGCTCATGCACGCTCCCCCACCTCCTCTCCTCATCCCTCACTCACCTCCCCCTTTGTAAAGGGGGTTAGTAAGAGGGATGGCCGGCAGTAAGCGGTCATGCTCATGCACGCTCCCCCACCTCCTCTCCTCATCTCTCTCACTCACCTCCTCCTTCGTTCTTATCTCCTCTCACCTCCTCTCTCTCTCTCTCTCTCTCTCTCTCTCTCTCGCCTCCTCCTCCTCACTTACCTCTCTGCCGTCTTACACTGCACCGGGTGTACCCCTTCAAGGGGTGTTCTACACAGGTTTTCTCCTGCAAGCAGTTCTAGGGGTGTGTCAGAAAATATAATTATATGTTCTGTTATATAACTGCCTGTAGGATTTACTGTAGTGTAGCTCCTATTGTTTGGTGGTGCACCTTTGTTCATTTTGCTATATGTACCTTGTGTGCTATAGTGAAACCATCATTCCTCTCCAATTCTCTCGACACTCAATCCTTAGCTCATCTCCCTCGCCATGGCTCCTAAGTCTAGCTAGCATTCTAACAACTGAGCCATCTTTGCTTCTTCCAACAGTTCGTGAAGGTATAATCCTTCCTTGGTGGCTGAGCAGAGTGCGATGTATTCTGCTTCAGCTGAGGAGAGAGCGATTAGCTCTTGCTTGTTCGACTGCCATGAAATGGGGCCAATAGGGTCGAGTCGGTAGATGTAGCCAGTGCGAGATCGCCTGTTGTCAGAGTCTCCGGCGTGATCGGCGTCGACGTAGCTGATTAATTTAGGTGTCGCGGTTTCAGTTTTGTGGTAGGTTAGGCTGATGTCAGAACATTATAGCTTTTACATTTGTGTAGGCTATAGTGGGGTAGCCCATAAGGGGTACAACCCAATTAAGGTTAGTACTTGTACCCAACTCTTTGCTAGTTCATTCATTCTCGTTCACAACATTCTAATATGGTTTTAGAGCAAGTCCCCTAGGACCGGTTTGTTTTTGGGCCCACCACCTGCTGCCCTGCTAGCCTAGGCCCGCGCCCGTTGCCCCTAGGCCCCGGCCTGTCGCCACCCCTAGCCCGGCCCGTCGCCCCTTGGCGTCGCTCCTAGCCCCTGCCTCGGCCCCTTGTCCCCGTCGACCCCGTCGCCCCTAGCTCGGCCCCTCGGCCCCGTCGCCTCGGCCCCTTGGCCCCGTCGCCCCTAGCCGCGGCCCCTCGGCCCCGTCGCCTCGGCCCCGCGGCCCTGTCGCCCCTAGCCGCGGCCTCGTCGACCCCGTCGCCCCTAGCTCGGCCCCTCGGCCCCGTCGCCTCGGCCCCGCGGCCCCGTCGCCCCTAGCTCGGCCCCGTTGGCCCCGTCGCCTCAGCCCCTTGGCCCCGTCGCCCCTAGCCGCGGCCCCGTCGCCCCTAGCTTGGCCCCGTCGGCCCCGTCGCCCCTAGCTCGGCCCCCCTCGGCCCCGTTGCCTCGGCCCCTTGGCCGTGTCGCCCCTAGCCGCGGCCCCGTCGCCCCTAGCTCGGCCCCTCGGCCCTGTCGCCTCGGCCCCGCGGCCACGTCGCCCCTAGTTCGACCCCCTCGGCCCTGTCGCCTCGGCCCCTTGGCCCCGTCGCCCCTAGCCGCGGCCCCGTCGACCCCGTCGCCCCTAGCTCGGCCCCTCGGCCCCTCGGCCCCGTCGCCTCGGCCCCGCGGCCTCGTCGCCCCTAGCTCGACCCCTCGGCCCCGTCGCCCCTAGGCCCCTCGGCACCACGACCCCTAGGCCCCACGCCCCTCGGCCCCTTGGCACCTCGGCCCCTAGGCCCCTCGGCCCCTTGGCCCCTCGGCCCCTAGACCCCCCCCCTTCGTGTTTGGCCCCTCGGCCCCTAGGCCCCTCGGCCCCACGGCCCCTAGGCCCCTTGGCCCCTCGGCCCCTAGCCCCCCCCCCCCCCCCCCTTCGTGTTTGGCCCCTCGGCCCCTAGGCCCCTCGGCCCCGCCCCTCGGCCCCTCGGCCCCTTGACCTCTCTGCCCATGCTACTGCTGCTACTGCTACTGCTGCTACTGCTGCTGCTACTGCTGCTCCTCTACTGCTGCTACTGCTGCTCCTCTACTGCTGCTACTGCTGCGACTGCTGCTACTACTGCCGTCCCTCTTGCAGCCCCTGCCGCCCCGCACGCCGCCTAGCTTGCCTGCTATGACTTCTCTTCCTCGTAGCGGTGGGAGTGGTGACGGCGGTGGTGGCAGCAGTGGGAGTGGTGGCGGCCGTCCTAGAAGTCGCTGTGG